GACCATTTACCAAACTTGTGTCTTAGTCACATTATAGTTCAATAAATAAGACCCCAACCAAAATCCAGTCCATAAGGTATTAATGTAAGATGTTTATTAGTGTAATTTATTTAGCACAATAACCACATGAAAATGTCCCAATATACAAACTGTTGAAGTCTAAAGTCACAAAAAATACAATTAGGTATATGAAGGAAGTTATAAAAATATGTAAAAACAAAGTTCTACATCTTCAACAATGGGCCAAAAAGGGGGAAAAAATAGAGAAAGAACACATGAAAAACATCACATTTCAACAAAGCAGCCCTGACCAGTCTGGCTGCCTCACCAGTGAGACACTGGGTCACTTAGGTGTGACCATTATGGCAACACAGCATTTCATTGTGGTACTGGCTACTTTATATGAACCTATATCTGAAACATTACATTTATTTCTTTCAAAATAAAATAACCAAGTGAAATGGATGAAGCTAACAATATATACCAAATTTCACTAGTTATTAGTAGAAAATTTCAACAATTCCTTAAGTTCAAAGAGAAAGTATATTTGAAAAAAAATTCAAACAAAAATAAACATAACCAAATGGAAATAGGAAATAAACGTTTAAAAAATGCCAATTATGAAATGTGAGTATATGAAACAGAGAGTAGTAGCCAGACTCCTCCAACCTACCTGCAACTTAGACAAGCTACAGAACTGAAGTGGTTAGAAATAACAGAAAGATGCCTAATATGTATTTTAAAAGGCCAGTACTACCAGTTTTAAAGTTCCCTGGCCAAAACAAGCCCCCAGATTGATATAATAACAACAGCACACCCAGGGGGAAAGAGTTCTGTTTTATTTTATGGTAAGCTCTCCTATGGTAAGGGTTTTCTTATTTTATCAACTACTTAGAAAATAAGCATAACCTCTCCTCTATAAAACACACCTCCCTCAAGCATCTTCTGTCCCGAACCCAGAAAAGGAATTCTTGGCAGACAGAACAGCCCCTGTGACCAGATCTCTGTATAAGAGGGAATGCTTCCTAAATTTCAAAAGTCACTACAGAGACTCAGTTTAAACTGTCATGATATTCTGATTTTATCACCTCAAAAGGAGTTTTGTGTCAGAGGATCTAAAACAACATATATCTCAAAATCTTCCTCAGAACATGATGCCAATTATTTCCTTTAATCTGGAAAAGTCATTATCTTTGAGGTTATAAAAACCTGCATAACTGCTAACATAATAGAAAATATAAGTATTTCACATTCCAGATCTTAAATCAGAACCCCTCTAAGATTTCAAAACATGGTCCATGTTTTCTTTCATATTTCTAAAAATTCGATCAAAGTTTATTACTGTACAGGTTATACAGCACTTATCATAGATGTTTTTATATTTTTTTAAGCTACTAATGTGAAAAAATGAGGAATGAGAATAATAAAGTCCCACTGAAACAATCTTCAGAGTATGTGAACATAAATGCTAACATTCATGGTAAATGACTTTATACACAGGTCTTCATATGTGATTCACTATACCACTGGCATGCTGCATAAAAGACACTTCCAAAATTCAAAAAGAGATTCTACTCCTAAGCAAAGTTTGAGTCTAATCAGATAATCATTTCATTAGAAACCTGCTAAATTGGTTGTGGTTCTTAAATGTATTGCAATTTAGTTTCATTCTGGTGCCGTTTCAGAAACTTTTTAAGCTGCATCAACATCCCAATATTCTATCAATACAGTACTCAAGAACTAAGACTTATTTCCATTTTCTTCCACTTCCTAATTCTTATTTTAATAGCTCATGATCATGTTCAAAAAGTAACTGGTTATAAAATTTCACATACAATAACAGGGTTGTCAAAATTTCAGGAGAATCTATGTCTAGACAAACAGACCATAATTTCGTAATAAAAACAATTTTGGCCCAACTTGCAAATAACAAAAGATTATTTAACTTGGAGAAATACTTTTCAAGGTTTAAGCAGAGCTACTCTAAATTTGAAAACCTAAAGTTTAAATAGCTATCATTATTCAGATTTTAGTAAGGTGGAAAGAAATACAAGTAGCCTGAAATATTAACCTTCTCTAAAAGCAAGCCACAGAGGGAGAAAGGAGAGAGAGGAAAAGGAAATTCACTGCAGTACTGGTGGCCTCAACCCCTTTATGAAAGCACATGTTCTCAACTGGTGTCATAACGTCCTGATTCATGTTGAAAATTTGAAAACCAAATGAAAAATGCTTAAATCAAAGGAAAAAGTGAGATTGAATTAAATAATAAAACGTATTTTAAAAGAGAACCAGAAATAAAAGACATTAGATGACCTTTATAAAAATACTAACATTGAAAAAGATTCATCTTGCACTGTGTGCTCACAAAGGGAAATGAGGGTCCATCAAGCCCTGCAGAGCACAAGAAGAAGCAGGTGGTTTGCTCAGGCATCAGCAGAAATAGGCCCCGAAGAACTACCCTCAGTTTCTTCTACACCGTGTCCAGGAAGGAAAAGCAAAGCTCTGCAAAATGCTGAAGGTTTTAGAAGTGTAACGGTGCTTAGGAAAGATCACTAGTCTGGTGTTGCAGCAGCCCCAGTGTTGAGAGACTTCTAGGCTAGGCTTCTAGGAGAAGAAAAATAGAAAGGGAGGAAGAAGCAGGAAGGGGAAGGAAAGGGCAGAAAAGCACAGGTCATTAGTAAACAGCAAGTTCAACATAACAAGATGCTCATAAACCCTTTATATGCTATTCATGGAGCTGGTTTGCTCTCAGGACTACAGATACCATTCTAAGAGAAACAGAAAAGGAATTTTCAAATGGTACTGAGTTAGATGCTCCCATTAGTGATGGCCAAATTAGAATGAAGTTACATGCTCCAAAAACATGCACTCTTTACCCCCTCCCTCTTACCTCCCTCTCCCAATGAAACATGCATATTTTCTGTAAAGTACCTGCTTTAATACAGTTAAGAGGTCAAATTCAGAACCCAAACAGTCCAGGTTTGCAAACTATATTCTAAGAATAAAGAAGTATCCAAGAACAGGAAGACCTACTCTCACAAGGTTAATGGGTAGTTGTTCATCAAGAGCTGGGTCTTGTCACCCGGGAACTAAGTCTTGAAACAGGGCCAGGCTATATGTTTTCCCTCCTCTCTCCACTATTAAGATGTGGTAGTGGGGAGCAACTGCTACACAGAGTCTGAGTCTCTTCTGGTCAGACCTGACATCCTGCTGAAGAAACCTACTCTAGTTTTGGTAGTTGTTTCCTTTGTGGAAGAAAAGGGTATCCACTCTTCCAAATGCATAATCAAATTGATCCCCTCCAGTCCGTCCTTTCCATGGCACTGCCTACTTGCTAAAGAAAGCTGAATTTACAAATGTTTAATAAATTAACTTCAAGATTCTTCTTTATCACAGGAATATTTGCCAAAATGTTTTCCGTGTGTGTGTGTGTGTGTGTGTGTGTGTGTGTGTGTGTGTGTGTGTGTGTTGGAGTCTTACTCTGTTACCCAGGCCGGAGTGCAATAGCACACTCATAGCTACCATAGCCTTGACCTTCTGGGTTCAGGTGATCCTCTGCTTCAGGCTTCCAAGTAGCTGGAACTACAGGCGTGCACCACCACGCCTGGCTAATTTTTTTTATTTATTGTAGAGACAAGGTCTCACCATGTCCCGGGCTGGTCTTGAACCTATGGGCTCAGGCAATCCTCTTGCCTCCACCTCCCAAAGTGCTGGGATTACAGGTGTGAGCCACTGCGCCCAACCTAAATGTTTTCTTAAAACTAAATCACAGAGACAATTTTGCTTTCACAGCAGGCACAAAATCAGTCAATATTACATATGACTGGGCTTATCACAAAAATGCCAGTTCACGCAACTGTAAGATAAAGTAACACTTCTAGTTGTTTCTAGCTTCTAAAGTAAAGAATACCTAAATTATGAGTTGCTAATAAAGATATTAATGTGCCTGCATAAAAACTAACATTCACAACAAATACAACCTAGTCATCAAAAATCTGAAGTGTAAAGATATATTCAACATTTCTTAAGGTCACAGAATGAAGAATAAATCCTAGAATAACTGTTATTGCTAACCAAAGCCTTTATGGAAGCCTTAGAAACTGAGAAATCCTGTGGTGGGTCACACAGCTGAAGTATACATGCAAGAAGAGAAACAGAAACAGTACATGTCTAGTGCTTGCCTCTGCTGCAGTAATGTGAGGCAAATGTTATGTCCTAGTTAAGAGCACACTCTGCTGCAGAAGACAATGTGCTTGATCATTACAAGTCAACACATTTGGGTCAACAGTGTCAGCCTGATCACAACTGCAAATTAAGTGCAGTTATTTATAAAAATTCTACACATGACTCTCACATCAGCTACCTAATAAAAGATTTATATAGCACATCCCTGTGGACTCCTGTTACTGCTTTGAGAATCTGGTTCCCTAAAAAGACACAGGGGCAGGGAGTTGGTGCTGGTTATGAGGCGGGAACCCACAGGAACTCAGTGCTAATTGACAGACTATCAGAGCCCTGGTAATGGGCGAGGAGTTAAGTTAGTGACAGATTTCAAAAGTAACCAAGGGAAAGATAAGACTGGGGGAAAAAGAGAAAGGAAAGAACTTGTAATTTGTTGCTCACAGGTTTCCTAACACTGAGCTGTGGAAAGAAAACTAAGCACAATGTGCATTCAGGGAAGAGACCTGTTTAAAGAGCTGTGGTAACCAAATACCTCCCATGTGACATATTTTCATGAGGGTTATTCTTTATCTAGAAGAGGATTTTGAAGACCCTCCAACTCCTGTGTGGTACAGCTCCAACCAACATTCAAGGAATATCAAAGGAAACTCATTCTTCTCTTTTCCATTGTTGGAGGTAGGTTTAAATACATCCAACAAGAACAATACACTCAGAAATAATGCATACACTTCCACTAATAATCCTTCTCAAAGGAGTTTACCAAGGTATTCACTGGACTGTTTCACCCACATATTTGGAGAAGCCTGGGACCCACTTACCTGTAGCATCGTTCCCTTCTATTCCGTGATCACCGTTGGCTAGGACTGTTGATTTAGAAGATGAAGTATCTGCAACAATGGACAGATAGAAAAATGAAAGACGATCCAACTACTGTCTTACTAACAGAATTTTCATCACTCTTCCTAGCATTCACTTATAGCAATTAAAAACAGTCCAAAATTGGGAAGCCAAGGTGAGAGGATTGCATGAGCCCGCGGGTTTGAGACCAGCCTGGACAACTTGGTAAAACCTCATCTCTACCATAAATAAAAAAATCAGCCAGGCATGGTGGTACATGCCTGTAGTTCCAGCTACTTGGAAGGCTGAACGGAAGGATCACCAGTCTCGAACCCGCAGGCTCAGGCAATCCACTCACCTCAGCCTCCCAAAGTGCAGGATTACAGGCTGAGCCACAGAACCCAGCATCATTTTCTTAACTGTATCTTTCAAAGAGCAAAACTCTTACATTTTGATGATGTCAAATTTATCACAGTTTCTTTCATGGATCATGCTTTTGATGAAGTATCTAAGAAGTATTTGCCTGACCCAAGATCACAAGATTTTTTCCTCATATTTTCCTCTATAAGTTTTATGGCTTTCATATTTTGGTTTCACATTGAGGCCTATGACCAAAAAAAAAATTTTTTTTTTTTGGCCAGGAGCGGTGGCTCACGCCTATAATTCCAGCACTTTGAGAGGCAGGAGGCGAGAGGATTGCCTGAGTCCAGGGGTTCGAGACCAGCCTGAGCAACATGGCGAGACCGCCTCTCTATGATCAATCAAAAAATTAGCCGTGCATGGTGGCACATGCCTGTGGTTCCAGCTACTTGGAAGGTTGAGGAGGAAGGATCACCTGAGCCTAGCAGGTCGAGGCTGCAGTGGCCATGAGTGTGTCAAAAAATTTTTTTGAGTCATGGTCTCATTCTGTTGCCCAAGCTGTAGCCCAGACTGGAGTGCAGTGGCATGTTCCCGGCCACCGCAGCCTCGACCTGCTGGGCTCCGGCGATCTTTCCGCCTCAGCCTTCCAAGTAGCCAGAACTACAGGTGCGTACTACCACACCTGGCTAATTTTTATTTATTTATTATAGAGACAAGGTCTCGCCAAGCTGCCCAGGTGGGTCTTGAACCCGTGGGCTCCGGCAATCCACTCGCCTCGGCCTCCCAAAGTGCTGGGATTACAGGCTGAGCCACGGAGCCTAGCCTATTTTTTAATTTTTTATAAAGATGAAGTATAGCTATGTTGCCCAGGCTGGTCTCGAACTCCTGGGCTCAAGTAATCCTCCTGCCTTGGCCTCCTGAAGTACTAGGATTACAGACATGAGCCACTGCACCCGACCTTATTTTTCATTTTTTTGGATGCGGTCTCGCTATATTGCCCAGGCTAGTCTTGAACTACTGGGCTCAAGCATTCCTCTTGCCTCAGCTTAAAGAGCTGGTATTGTAGATGTGAGCCACTGCATTCGACCCTATGACACACTTTGTAAAAAAAGTATGATGTAGTTCTAGGTTTCTATTTTTATATATGGACATCTAATTGTTCCAGGATCATTTGTTGAAAAAACTATCTTTAGTCTACTGAAATGTCCTTTCATCTTTGGGGAAAAAAAAATCAACCGATGGTACTATTTTTGGGTCTATTTCTGGGCTCTCTATTCTGCTTCATTAATCTATAAGCCTAGTGGTTTTTCCAATACCCTTTTGTCTTGATTACTATATTTATATAGTAAGTCTTGAAATGAGGTAATAAAGTCTACCACTATGGGCCTTTTCCATAATTGTTCTTCCATTTCTTTGCTTTTGCATATAAATTTTACAACTAGTTGTTGATTTATTATTTTTATTAATAGAGATGGGGGGGTCTCACTATATTGCTCTGGTGTGTTCTGAACTCCTGGCCTCAAGTGGTCCTCCCACACCGGCCTTCCAAAGTGCTGGGACGACAGGCATGAATGAACTACAGTGCCCGGCCTTGGTTGCTGATTTATACAAAAAAAATCTTGATAAGATCTTATTTGCAATTGCATTGAAAACACAGATCAGTTTGGGGATGTACAACCATTTCTGAAAGGCTCTGACTATATCAAACATTTAAGCAACCTGCCTAACACTGCAACAAGTAAAAATCTAGAATATATGCTGCTAAAATATAAAATGTAAGATTTTACTTTGGAAGACAACAAATGTATGCTGCTCAACCCCTTGGTCCTCACAAAAACAAAGGCAGAAATCTTTCATGCAAACTTCTCATTTAAAAGATCATTCATTCTGTTATCTCAGAGGAACAATGAAAGAGAAAAATCTAAAAGAACATGGCAGCCCATAAAGAGATTATCAATTAGATGGAAGGAGGAAATAAAGGAATGAAAGATAACAGACTTCTATTAAATACCCACTACAAAACACACATCCTGCTAAGTCTTCACATACTGCATTTTACTTCTCTACAGAGATGCCACAAATATGCTTCTTCCTACCTCAAGAAAGAATGCATGTGTTTTAAAATCTCCTTAATTCTAAAATGCATATTACAAGAAAATAGAAAACACAAAAACGGAATACATGAGAGTGGTATGAGAATGACCACAAGAGTGGTAAAGCCTTTTGGAAGTTTGATAATAACCAGTGTCTTCTCATATACCATTTGGAAGAATATAAATTGGAACAATCTTTCTATGAGACAATTTAGCAGTCTATCAAATTCTGAAATACCCACTTAACAATCCATTTTAGGTATTTACTTCAAATACCTCTTGTATGTCGAAGACAGAAGTATATAAAAATGAATGTAAATAAAATGTTTATTATGGCCTTGTTTAGAAATAACAAATGCCCACCAACAGATTCACCATAATATTATAAAATAGTATGCTTATAAAAATAAATGAGGTAGCTCTTCATGTTACTGATATGGGAAGATGCTAGGACATAAGGAAAAAATAAAAGCCAATGTAGCATACTAGCACTATGAAAACACATACAATCAGAAAAAAATATGAAAAAACATATACTAAACACCACTGATAATTGCTAAGGAATGGAGTACAGGAAGGGGGACCACAAAGTCTTGTTACTATTGAGTGTATTACAGAATTTAAGAGTGGATAAAGAGCCGGGCATGGTAGCTCAGGCCTGTAATCCCAGCACTTTGGGAGGCTGAGGCAAGAGGATTGCCTCAGCTAAGGGTTTGAGACCAGCCTGGACAACTTGGCAAGACTTTGTCTCTACAATAAGTCAAAAAATTAGCTGGGTGTGGTGGTGCACACCTGTGGTTCCAGTTACTTAGAACTGCTGAGACAGAAGGATCAACAGAGCCCAGCAGGTCAAGGCTGCAGGGATCATGAGTGTGCCACCGCACTTCAGTATGCACAACAGAGTGAGACTCCAACTCAAAAAAAAAAGGAGTGGATAAAGATAGCAAACTGAGGCACAGTTGTCAGCCTCAACATACAACCACAAGTATTTTAAAACAGCAGAAGAGATTGTTTAAAAGGATAACATAAAAAAAAATCTAGAAATCAAGAAGGGTACCTATTCTACTGGACCAGAAATGATAAGGAACATCCAGGAAAAGGAGAGCAAACAAAGCTACGCTAAAGTAGAAACCACAGCCCAAAGGCAGCACAGGAAAGCAGAACAATGTACACATGTAGTTCTAGAAACATGGCAATTTAATCAAGAAAAACTTTAAAGCTGAAAAATGTATTACATTAGGATAAAAGTATATCTGAGACAGAGATGGAAATAAGAGTTCAAGGACTCAAAAGAAGAATTTAAATTTCTAGTGATAAAGAACAGCTTGTTCATATATTTTTAAAATAGATGATGGGAATCAAAATGCTATATATTTAGAAGAATTTGGATACATCTAAAAGAGTGATGTAACTATTTTTATGTGACAAAATAAAACATTCTTAAAATTATATATTTTACAACTAAACTTTTGCTAAAAATTTTAGATGTCAACTTAATGTATAAAGAACACAAAATTTTTCAGAATTCTTGTACAGGTGTATGAACAAAAAGTTAATATCACTACTTCAGACCAAGTGAAAAAGAATGATTGATGCATACTGACAGAAAATTTTCTGAGAAATGAATTAAAAAGAGCAAGTTTATTAAAAATTCATATGGTTTCAATTCATTTGTATGAAATTAAAGCCACTATACTTTTTATCATATGCTTATAACTACATAGACAATAGTCTTAAAAGAGCTACCCTTCTTGAGGACAGAAACAAGATTAAGTGAAAGGCAGGGGAGATTTTCACTTATTTAAATTTGCATTTTTTTAAATAAACTTTTTAAGAATAGTTTCAGACTCAGAAAAATTGTGATGGTAGCACAGAGATTCCCGTATACTCCACAGCCAGTTTCCCCTAGTGCAGTATTAACATCACACACAAGTAGGATATGTTTATCACAATAAATGAAATTTATGATTTATTAACTAGAGTCCAAAATTCATTCAGATTTGCTTGATTTTTCCCTAATGTCCATTTTCTGTTCCAGTATTCCATTCAGGACACTATGTGACATTTAGCTGTCATGTCTCTTTAGGCTCCTCCTGTCTACAGCAACACAGTTCTCAGACTTTCCTTGTTTCTGATATCATGATAGTTTTGATGAGTACTTGGCAGGTACTCTGTAGAATATCTCTCAGTTGGAATTTGTCTGATGTTTTTCTCATGATGAGACTGGGCATTGGGTTTTGGAGAAGCCCAAAGGAGTAAGTGACCTTCACATCACATGATATCAAGGGTGCATAGTATCAACATGACTTACGACTTATCACAGTTGATGGTAATTGATCACCTGACTGATAAAGTTTTTTTTGGTTTTTGTTTGTTTTTGGTGGAAGAGAGGCTAGGCTGATCAAGTATTTGGTAAACTTCTCCAACTGTAAACTTACTCTCTTCCCATTTCCGTACTGCATTCTTTGGAAGTCGCCACTAGAGTGGTGAGGCATGTGCCCCTTCTTGATAATACAAATTATCTATCTGTGGTTAATGTAGCTACCCATAAATTATTTGGAATTGTTCTGTACAGAAGATGTGTCTATTCTCTCCAT